TTTTCTCTCCCCGGAGGAGGTGGGCGGCGGGGCCAGGCGTCCCGCCGCTCCAGTCCTCCGGGGCGAGAAAATCCCCATTCGTAACTGCAGATCCGACATAAGTCGGATCTGCGTAACTCAGGGACTGCCTGTATTGCAGAAAATCCCTTTTCAGGTTCTCAACCAGTGGTATGGTACCCCTAGGGGTACTTGAGAGAAATCTGAAGGGTATGTCAACACAACTGAATTTTGGAAAAAAACTGAATGTGTTTTAAGTTTTACAGCACTTTATTATTTTTGTACTTTTTACACCCAAAAATTTCATCGCCCGCCCGGCTACGATTAAGTTGTTTAAACAAATGTGTTGCAATGGTAGAAAAAAAAAATTGTGTCTGAAAACTGGGGATACTTTTTTTTTTATATAAAAGGGGGTACTTTATACAAAAAAGGTTCAGAAACACTCATCTATGGCATTAGGCTCTGAAGAGCTGCTCATCTACTAAAATTTAACCTGAGCTCTAATAAAGGAAGGGGCTGCAAATGTGGTCAGGAAAAGATTTAATGAGTCTATCTGCAAAAAAAGTTTGTAAGACACACACCTCATATTACACAGCTGCCTGAATCAGTTATTTCTGGTAAAGAAGAACAAGCCTGATACTCTTATTCACACCAGCTTCCTGTCAGGCCTCAATCTCCTGCTGGTCTTTATGATCCATGGTCATGAGGACATACATTTTTTTACAACTGCTGCAGTCATCCAGGCATTTTGCATAACTCCTGGAGAATTAATCTACTTCATGGAGGCCGGCTATTGCCCTTGTGTGGAGGTGTTAACTCTTGCAGAATAAGCAGTTACAGGGCAAGAGTCTGCCTTCAGTATAACATGGAGCAGGTTGCCATGTGGCAAAGATCTCTAACTAAACATACAAAAACAGTTAAAAAAAGTTAAGAAAAGGCAGGAAGAAAGCGAGTTGCAGACTGTAAGGAAGATTGACTCAAGTGCCTTTAAGTCAGTGTTTCTTAAACTTTTTAAGACCGAGGAACACCAAACAATATTTTTTATGAGGAACACCAAGGACTTTTTGTTGAGCAGGAGGGGGGGAAAAAAAGGGTCAGGAGGAGAAAGTTATTGGGGGGAGAGGGGAGAAAGGTCCCCTGCCCCTTTAAGGATGGCCATTTTGAACTCTGTTGTTCTCCATGGCACACCAGTCTGCCTCGGAACGCAGTTTAAGAAACACTGCTTTAATTGCTTTGCAGCATTGGAGCCAGAAGTTATACAAATCTTTCCTCAAAACAGCAACCATCTTCTCTGAAACATAGGACACATTTGTTACTCATGTTACTGGATTGTAGTTTTTAACCCAGACACCTGTCCTATTAAAAGCTAAATATTCTTTATTTCACACAAATTTTCATCCTCCCACTCCCAGTCACCAGAACTTACTTTTTTTATGTGGACAAACTGGCGGATATCCATATCATCATCTCTGTTCTTGACATCAGGTCGGACAGTTTGAACTACCTGGCAGACCACTGGCACAATGATATCCCTCCAGGATAACGACAGAGACTCATTGTTGAGTAGCTGCTGAAGTAGTGCCATCATATGGTTATGATTACCTGAACTGCAGAGGTATCAGAGTGATTAAGGGAGAGGAAGGGAATACAAATTGCTTTATCTGAAGCAGTGTGACGTAAAGGTTTTTTACACTTCACAGTGTTTAAAATGCAGTAAGAAATTTGAGGAAACATAAAAAGTGTTCCAGATCACCATCATGTTTACTTCTTCTGTTCTATGGTTACAGGCAACAGCATATAGAAACAGAAAGTTCTTAATTTTTCCCTACTGGGACTTATGTTTTTAAATACAAATAAGTGCACTAAGTATCTAGATCAAGTCTCCCTTGAAAAGACAAGGTTCATCTTTTGTTTGACAGCTAATTATTAATTTTATAACTCTAACAGCAAAATGCTCTTTGTTGTAAGTCAATTTCAGAGCACACTGTATATTGGTAGCCACTAAGCAACATCTCTTAGATCGGGGTGGAAAATAATTTTTGATGGGGGTCATTCCAAGATTTTGGAAAGTGCTCAAGGGCTGCACTTTTCCATTTATTACTGGAAGGGGTGCAGAGTCTGGGATAAAGGTTGGGTGCAGAAAGGAGAACAGAGTTTGGGAGGGAGTTTGGGTGAAGGAGGCAGTTGTGACCTAGGGCAGGGGTGCAGGATTTTGAGATATGACCTAGGATTGGAGGGGATTGTGATCTTGGGCTGGAGACTGGGGTGCCATATCCGGTAGGAGGTATGTGGAGAAGCAGGGCAGGGGCGGGGGAATGGGGGTTCAGAAGGTTGGGAAAGGGAAAGGCTGGGGTGTCGGAGGCAGACTCTGACCAGGAGACTTACCAGCCTGCAGCTAAAGGCTTGCAGAGCTTAAAATGTATCTGACTGCTTGGCTATGTGCTTGAGCAAGTAACTGAGCAGGAGAGGAGGGGGGGATTTTGCTTTGTGTCTGCCAGTTATTCAGACAGGCAGCTCCCAATGGCCAGAAACCAGCCAATGGGATTGTGGTGGGGGCAGAAGCAACATCTGAATCTTCCCCCGTCCCCTCAGGACTATCAAAGAGAAAGTGCCCCACAGCCTGCCTCAGGCTCCCCAATGCCTCCATGAGCCAGATCCGGTGGCTTGGCAGGCCGGATCTGGTCCATGGGCCGTAGTTGCTCAGGTATGTCTTAGACACTGTGTGGCAATGTGTAATGCTATCAAGAGAGGCAATTCCATTTAAAGATCATTTTTATGTGCTTGTGTCATGCCATTTAAGGCACACCAAAGAGTTTTCAGCGCTAGAGTCCCAGAGTATCATCCATACAGCTTATATTCACAATGTCATGTGTACTTCATTGGAGGGGAGGGGTTGCTTTATATTTAAAGACATGTGGATGGTTTAACAATGTGTAGTTTTAATAGCTACTTTTTCCTTTATGACTTACAGTGGAGACAAAATTATTAGCAGAAATTAAAATGATGGGCGTGTTTGTAATGTGTTAATGACATTAATTCAGACACCAAGAACAAAAAAATTGTTTCAAAACTATGGAATCACTAATCCACAGGTACAGCCAATTGCTAAACTCAAAAGAAGGCATCCCTTTACACATACCAAACATAATGAAAATGTCATACATGTTATGCTGCATGTATAAACATGAAATTTCAACACATGAATATGCTACCAGCTAATTTGGCACTAGTGCCACCAATGCAGGTCCAAGAAGATAGACTAAGTTGATGGGACATCAATATAAGTACTCCTCCTCCACAGAAGGCGGAATCTATGTTGATGGGAGAGCATCTCTTGTCAACATTCAGCAGCACTTACAAAGCTTTGAAAATTTTATCTTAGATATCCCCATTAATTCCCTTTTATGTTCTACTTACAGAAGCCTCTCCATGGCTTGTTTCTCTCCATTCTCTTCCCTCAGCAGATCCAGATTGCTGTGGTGCCAGCCTAAAGGTGTGAAAAACAGCTCTTTGGATTTCTCCTTGGGGGGGGGGGGGGGGGAGAAGGGGGAAGAAGAGGAGAGAGAAAGGAGAGTTTGTTTATACAAAGTTAAAGATGAATGCTTACACTTTCTCCTCTTAAAAAAAGTTCAAGAAGAGACTTCACCAAGACTAGTCCCGGCCTCTGCTGTGAGAGACTGTTGAAATATTATGTTGTGCAGGAGCCACAGTGTTAGTCACTGACAGTGCTTGGTATTCACAGTGTCATCAGCTATAGAAGAGTAAACATGCTATTACATACTTCACGTATGCCAGGTAATTTGTTTTTCTTCTCTCTAGCCTGCCTGTGAGTAGTTCAGTTTTAAGGCAACAAATTAACTATGTATGGTCAACTATCACCTTGTATTGCCTAAAATAGGTAGTAATCTGATTTTCCAGATACATAACCTTTAATTTAAGACATTTGAAAAATGGGACAGTCTAATCTTACATAGTTTTATTTGACAAAGCCATTGTTTTCGAAGCCTTATATCTAAAGGTAGCACTAAAAAGCATTGTTATTCCATTTAGGTCATATACAACTTATAACTCATCTGATGAAGTAGGTTTTACCCACAAAAGCTCATGATCTAATATACGTTAGCCTAAGGTGCCACAGGACTGCTCTTTGTTTTTAAACTTACCATATTTATTTTATGTTCCAACAAATTTATCCACAATCAAGGCCAATGAAAATGCATCATGTGACCATGTGACTAAACCACATTCTTAGAAATTAAAGTAGACAATTGCATATTAAGAGTACAAGTCTAAGACTGTGGAGATTTAACCCACTAAAGCCAGGGCCAATCTATCACTTGAGATATGGCTACCAATTCTGTTAAGTAGGTTTTTAATATTATGCTTTGCTTTTCCCATCACAACTGAGTGAATACTCTTAGAGCAGTCCAATCTTTGTCAACAGAAATCACAATAAATTCTACTGAGTAGTGTTAGATCTGTGAGTAAAATCTCTGTTTGTCTAGTACTCTGGTCAGAGGACCAGACTCACCACAGTTATTTCAGTTTCACAAGAGTATAATTCCATTCAACAGGAGCAACAGTAGGGGGTCTGTCAGACTCAGAGAAGAAAGTATGTAATAAAAATATTGGCCATATGAGGCACAATATTAGCTTGGTAACTTTTTCCCATATGTACTAGAATAGCTTGTTAAAAGCTCTTGTTTTAAAGAATTTAAAATACATGGAAGGGAACAATCCTGACAGTCTATTTTACTCTTGCCTTTGTGTGGATTCTTTTTATTACTTGCTTTAAACAATTCCAAGTAATAATACATTTTTAGAAGTAGTTTTCTCTTGTTTCTTAAATTTGTTCTCTTATATCAAAATATTCTTAATTTTGTGAAGTGGCAACTAATAGGTATTCTTTAAATTAATATGCTCCAAGTTCCCCTCTCCCTAAATGAAATGCTAAAACCTTAACTTGCCCTTTAATTATTTTATTGTATAAAATATAGGATGCATTTCTTTAGTTTATTTTGCTTCCCAAAACATATTATCAATATAACCATGTCCACATTAGAGCATATACTGGTACAAATATAGTGGTATAACTGCATCCTTGGGGCAGGGTGGATGGAGGGGAGAAGAGAAAGGGTTGCTGCTTTAACTATACTGATATAGTTAAAAAGGCAAACCTTTTGTGTGTCGCTGGTTGCCCTAATCCTCCAAAGCTGCTATGATTTTCTTTATGCAGATTTCCTCCTCCCCAAAGTAAATTTTCTTGTCATTTTAGTGATTAAATTGGATTACCTTCTGCCACTACTATAATCAAAGAACATAATTAGAAACATCACTGTTGCATTATGCAGACTATAAAATTCTTATTTAATTTGTACTGCTAATACAGAGTTCTGCATTAAAGTTTAAATCTCCATGGTCTAAGCTGTAAGGGAAATGGTTGTCTTTTGAACAAACAAACAACTCAATACAGTTACAGTGCAGAATTATATTTTAAGTTTTCTTCACATGAGCAACAATAGACAAGAGGAGTACATGACTAAGAATCATGCTTGTGAAAAAAATAGAAAGGGTATTTTCCTCCTCCAGATATTTTGCATCTGAAATAATATACTGAAAGTATTCAGTATGTCTTAATGTGTAGAAATATACAGCTTGCTTCCTTCATAGAACCCAGGTAAAAGCAACCCATTTAAAAGGGTCTCAAACTGGCAACTGTGTCCAACAGGACCTCCCTTTCAACTGAAGTGACACAAGCTAATATGATGTAAGAGCAGATGTGGTATAATAATGTCAGATTAATTTTGAGATGCTGGTAGAATAGAGGTTTTCAGTGCACACACAAATGTATATGGAAATAAGCATCAGAGGGTTACTGAACACCTGATGGATCCCAGAATAAAAAAATTAATCTCTTATAATCAAGAAGGTTTTGTGGATGAGGAAGTGCTAACAAAATGCTAAACACAGCCAGTTAATGTGTAATGAAGGACGCATTTGTAGTTAAAGGCCCTTGAAAAGAATCTCACATGCTTGAGGTCAATCTAAAAGTGAACCAAGTGAGTGGAGAAATTATAAGAGTTCTCTCTGGGCATCTCAAATTATTTTAAGAAGCCAACATCTAAGCCACCTCTAACACCAATAGAAGCATCAATACATAACCCATTCACTAGGGGGAAAAAAGGCATTTCTGAGTCCCTTACCTTTGATGAAAGCATCACTTATTGAGATCATCTGTTGCCCTCCATTGTCAGGAATCAAGTACTCTGAAAAAGAAGAAAACAAATCACGATGGGAGGAGATACATAAAATGATAGGTTATGATGGCATATAAGTATAATTATACTATGTACACACCCACATCATAAGAGAAAATATTACTCATCTGAAGCATTTAGTCATTTCTGTAGCATCCTGATAAGTAGTCAAGAAAGAATATCTTCTCATACTTGTTCTGCAAAAACTTCAAAAATGATGGCACCATACTGCTTAAAATTATTCGACAATCAAGCTAACGTGGAGGGTGCACAAAACAAAAGCGCTGGAAAAAATATCTGCCTTTTTAACTCACATGTGGCTAGTTTTCCCTTTAGGTCTACATCTGGAATTAATTATGTCTTTACCTGAGACACTGTGGAGGTACCCAACAAACAGTATGATTATTAAAGCAAGCAATTTCTGAAGGCATATTAAAACCAAAGGTGTTCCCTCAGCTGAGCATAAGCTTAACTTTGTTCTCAGGCTCAAGTTACAAGCCCTTTGTGTACAACTAGTTCTCATGGTTGTCCAGTTCTGGGACTCGTCTCAATCAAGTAAACAGACATGCAATATACTCTCTTCCTTAAGAGCTAAAGGGAGAAACTGATACCATATTTAAAACCGATTATGATCAAAATGGAGAGAAGGGAAGCAGCCAAGAATGTGTGCACAGCACACAAGATGCATAAAGGTACTCATCAGTTCACATATAGAGTCATGCAAGATTATGAAGTTGTGTATATGTGTATATATAAGGATGGCTAAACGGTGACTTATGAGCTACATGTGGCTTTTTTACAGTTAAAGTGCAGCTTAGGAAGCATTTCCCCATTCTCCACCTACCAGACTGGGGTGTGTGTTTGGGGTTTCCGCCCTATGAAAAGGTGGTAGGGACTAGGGACTTTTGCCAGGGATGACTGTAGCCTGCTGAGAATGGAGGAGCATGGTTTAAAGGGTCAGCACCCAAGATCCCTACAGCTTGAGTCACACACCTCTTTGCCCTTGACAGCCTCTCTCTACAGCTCCTAGGAGTTAGCTCCATGGGGAGAGACAGCAGAAGAAGCAGCAGCTCTCCCTGCTGCTTCCACCTGTTTGCCACTGCTTCTCCCCATTGTTCACAGTTTGCTGGCATGCAGGGAGGGGTCCCAGCATCACATTGTGACTGAATGGACCACCAAACTCTGGCAAAAATCTGGGGATGTACACGTGAAGGATGCAGTCACAGAATACCCTTTGTGGGGGTCCTTCCCAGAGTGCTAACCAAGCCACTGACACTTACCTCCTTGTTCTCCAGGGCTTCTCGCCACCCTGTCCTGCTGGGCCAGCTCACCTGGTCTTCCCCAGCCAAGGCACAGAACTGAGATCACCACCTCCCCAAGAAGCAATACAGACACTGAAATGCTCAGCTCAGAGGAAAATGTAGTTTTAGGCCCAGCTTCCAGGGAAACCACTCTCCAAACGGGATCAGAATCCCAAATACATTATTTAGGTAAGCCCCAATTAACAATGAAAGGGAGAATGTACACTGATTGCTCCCCCTGGTAACAATTATTTACAGTGGGCTTCATAGTAAATAAAAGTGAATTTATTATTTAAAAGCAGTAGGATTTAAGCAGTTGCAAGTGAAAACAGGCAGAGCAAAGTAGATTACACATTTAATACAATAGAAAATGCATAGCTAGTTCTAACACACATTCAAGCTTATTACAAACTCACTCTAAAACTGTACTTATTTCAGCCAAACCTCTAAGCCAGGAAAGATCTCTTTTCCTCTGGGGTCTCTGGTTTGTGTCACTCCTAAAAGAATGCCAGCCAAAGACCAAGAATTGAAAGACTTTGCATCTTTAAATAGGCTCCCTTTCAGGTAGGAATTATCTGTTTTACATTCTCTCCTTTCATGGAAAATTATCTGGTTAGACCTTATGATGGGGCGGGGGGTGGGGGGGGGAGAGAGATTGTCACATGACTTCCTAAGACCAACCACTGCTAAGTAAAGGACAAAAGAAGCTGTTTACAGGTGATCACCCAGACGTTGAAGGAATGACATTTAAAACCATAAACCAGCACATTTAAAACCATAAAGCATTCCACACTCCATATTTCTAACTTCACACACAAGAACGATACATGCACCAAAATCAGATAAACAGGTCCAGCAAATTATGACATTAAGACTGATAGGTTACATGAGGCATATTGTCCAAAGCATCTTTGAATTATGCATGTGTGACAATAAGTCAATTTCATAAAGCATCATAGCATGTGACCCCCATGTGCCTCTTCACACATGTCACGGTTGGCAGTGGGGCAGGAGTGGGGTGGGGGGGAGGGTGGTCCTTGTGGATTATGGTCAAAAAGGAAAAAAGGGGGGGCCATCAAGAATGTGTGCACAGCACACAATATGCATAAAGGTTTTCATCAATTCACACCAGCTGTCAAACTTCTGATGACTATCATGTGCAGCTCTGAGGTCAGTAGGTTTGTTCACCTCTGGTATAGAACATACACATATATTATAGAAAAGATAGATGCTATATTTGTAATTACATGCCAACTTGTTTGCCAAAGAGTTTTCCAGAAGCTATCAATCCATTGTAACCATCACATGTCAAGTTAGTAACTATATCCAGCTTTCACAAAACCAAAAAACCAGCTTTTTAAAGGGAAAAAGTAATGTCCAATAAACCAAAGTCCCATATAAGCACCCTCAGCATGATGACCCTTTATCCAATCCCTCCCCCAAAATACTAACACTTGAAGACAAGAAGTTATTTGCTCTGGGATGACTCCGTGATGAGTACAAGGCATAAAAATACAGAACTAAATGAGACAGCAGAAATGTGTCAGCATTATGCCCTCACAAATTACAACACAAATATAACAAAGCAGAACACGGTCAACATAAGTTGCATTTCCGCCTGGTGGTTTCATATCCGTTAGTGTTGCAAACGGAACTCCTCTCCCTTATGATTACTCTAGGTTTTCAATCTGGATGCATACGATATCTAAAATTTCCAAAGAGGTCCTGAAAATGTTTGCTTTGAAATGTTTGCTTTGAAAATGTTTAGAGTCCAAAAATGAAAAGACTAAAGATAGAAAAACAGTCTTCATTTTTTTTCATGTACTGTATTTAACAGTGCTGCACATGTAGTCCACTTTGCTTTATGAAGAGTTAATCGCATCTCCTGGGAATGCTAGTGCATGCTTCCAGTTCATGTCTGGCTAGAGGACTCCTTCCAGCAAGAGCACCAAAGCTGAAAGTGAAACAAGGCAGCAGGAAATACAGAGAGGAAGGAGGAGAAAAGAAAAGTGGGCACATGCAAGCATGGTAAAAAAAAAAAAAAAAAAAAATCAGCAGAGAGGAATCCAGTCCCTAGTTTGGACATGTTGCCCAGTCATTGTTCTCACTGAAGCTTCATACATAATGGATTAAAAAGTCTTAAATGCAACATCCTCTCTCAGCTAGGTTTGCCAACTTTTTAATCACACAGAACCAAACACCCTGCCCTGAGGCTCATTCTCACTCTCCCTCACTTTCACCTGGTTATGGCAGGGAGTGTAGGTGCTGGGGTGGGGTGGGGTGGGTGGAGTAGCTGGGGCAGGGAGTGTAGGTAGGTGCTGGGGTGGAGATGAGGGGTTTGAGATGCAGGAGAGGGCTCAGGAATGGGGCAGAGGTGCAGGCTCTGGGTGGGAGTTTGGGTGCAGAAGGAGACTCTGGGCTGGTGCAGAGAGTTCAGGGTCCTAGTGGCACTTATCACAAACTTCAACCAAGAGGCTACCAGGTCTCCACAGCTCTTAAGCCATCAAAGGGCAACCTAGATTAATGAGTGGGTCATAAGCAAGACGATCTCCCAGGATAGGGCAGTTTTGCTCAACGTGCTTGCATACCTAGAGTTTGCGGGGGGTTGCCAATTGATTAGATGCAGAGGGTGCACACAGCTCCACAGATAATGTTGTGTGCAATCAGCATGCACCTCACTTCATGCACCCTTGCTTTACATCCAGGTCTCTTTAGTAATACTGGTAGGAAAAAAACCTACATGGACAAAAACCAATGGAATCTGGCAGCCCTGCACGTGGGCAATGGCGAACAAAACATCTTGCATGCCACACACAGAAGCCTGATGGGCTGCAGGTTGCCCACCACTTCCCTAGGCACATGTGCAGTCAGAGGCTCCATGTGCTGCCCATGCACCTGCAAGCACCGCCCCTACAACTCTGACTGCTAACACTTTTTGACCAATGGGAGCTGCAAAACCAGCATGTGGAGTAGGGCAGATCAGCGCATAGAGCCTCTCTGGTAAATCCTCTTCCTGTGGACCACAGGGACCTTACAGCTGCTTCTAGGAGCCATCTGGAGATAGGGCTGGTAGGGAGCCCACCTTAGCCCCAGACCACCCCTGCATCACTGAATGGACTTTTAATGGCTTGGTCAGCAGTACTAACTGGAGCCTCCAGGGTCCCATTTCAACCTAGCTTTCCAGTCGCAAACAGATGACTGGCAAGCCTACCCTTCAACGTAGTTATAAATACTGAAATATTTTGTACAAGTCGAGGCTGAAAGGACAGTGTCTTTAACTAACTGACAGCTAGCTACACTAAAGGCTAATCTGCTGCTTTGCAGTCTGTCCCATTTAAAGGGATAACATACAACTAGCCTGCACCAGAAGCGTACCATAGAACAATCTGTGACTTGGACGTAATTCCTCCCAATCACCACTTACTCTGGGATGAGAAGTAAGGGTATGTCTACACAAAGTTATTTCGAAATAACAGCCGTTATTTTGAAATAACTTTACTAGCATCTACAAAGCCAAACCAAATTAATTCGAAATAGCGGAGCACTGATTTTGAATTTGGCAAACCTCGTTCCACGAGGAATAATGCCAAATCCAAAATAGCTATTTCGAAATAAGTGCTGTGTAGACACATATCGAAATAGGGGGCCTCCAGCCTTCCCAGGGTGCCCTAGTGGCCACTCCTCTCCCTTCCCTATCTCCAGAGACCT